GAAACACATTTTTGGTATGGCAAACTGCAAACTTCTCGATGTTGCCAGCACCTCCCTGTATGTATTGCAACAGACGTGACTCGTAATTGCTCCATCTTGCCCTAAAGCGGCCAAACGCGGCCAACATACATTGCTCGGACCAAGAATAAAGCATAGGTCACCTTGATCGTAAGCCTCGTTGACCAAATCCAAATATTTCCAAAAACTTCTTCTGCACATTAGTGTTGATGTGCCAAACACATAGCAAATGCGGGGTGCGGGGGAAGACCACAGAAACTGTAGCAAGTAGTCCACCTTCGCGGTCGGTGACGATGGCAGTGGACACGCGTGGATGGAGCAATTGTTTTACGCACTCTAACAACCAATGATACGCCTCTTTTGTCTCCTCCTTCATGAGAGCACAACATATGTTGAAATTCTTCCCAACGGGAGTAGCACCTACGACCTCCACCCACGACATTTTATTTGCATTGGTCTTATTCGTTGAGTCGATCAGAATCACGTACGGCCAAGCCTTCAACATCTGGATGGAAGTTGGATGGGCAAAATAAAGATGGGTAAGCAAGTCGTTATCGCCTTCATAACCTCTATATGATAATTCTCACGTTCAGCTGCTTGGAACGCATACTGCAATCCATTCATCTTGCCCATCTCGTCTTTCCTTTTGGTGTGATGCCTTTTGTCACCCTTCTGCATGTTTATTGTCTGCTTCTCTTGCGACGGAGGTACCCCAGCATCTCTCATATGCTTAAGAGATTCTTTATCCTCCGGACTAAATTTCTTCATTTGACTGTGGCCCTCAGGATAAAGCATATTCTCATGATTGTGATACTCTCGCCTTAAATCGGTTTCTTGCTCCCTCACTTCTTGTATCACCCAGAATGAAGGTCCATTAAGAGCATCTGGATCAACCAGTAGTTCTTTGATTTTAACCTTGAATATGCAATTAGACCCTTTTGAACTTGTATTGCCACGACTCTCTTTGGAAGGATCCGGCTTGTATGACTTCCTCTCCTTACTGCATCTGTCGCAATACAAATAACACAGACACAATACTCTTTTGTTGCGCAACTCACGTGGCTTCATCGATCACTTAATTAGAAAGAAACCAAGAGACATCGCGATGTTTTTGGTCATTGTTACAACATCTTCCAAGAGACAATTTCGAAGATGCTGTAAACCAAAAACATCGCGATGTCTCTTGATTTCTTTCTAATTAAGGGATCGATGAAGCCACGTGAGTTGCACAACAAAAGATTATTGGGTCTGTGTTATTTGTATTGCGACAGATGCAGTAGGGAGAGGAAGTCATACAAGTCGGATCCTTCCAAGGAGAGTCGTGGCAATACAAGTTCAAAAGGGTCTAATTGCATGTTCAAGGTTAAAATCAAAGAACTACTAGTTGATCCAGATGCTCTTAATGGACCTTCATTCTGGGTGATACAAGAAGTGAGGGAACAAGAAACCGGTTTAAGGCGAGGGTATCACAATCATGAGAAGATGCTTTATCCGGAGGGCCACAGTCAAATGAAAAAATTTAGTTAGAAGGATAAAGAATCCCTGAAGCATATGAAAGATGCTGGGGTACCTCCGTCGCAACAGAAGCAGACAATAAACATGCAGAAGAGTGACAAAGGGCATCACACCAAAAGGCAAATGTATAACCTCGGGTCCAAGTCCAGGAAAGACGAGATAATCAAGATGAATGCAATGCAGTATGCATTGCAAGCAGATGAACGTGAGAATTATCATATAGAGGTTATGAAGGACGATAACGACGTGCTTACCCATCTTTTTTTTTTGCTCATCCAACTTCCTCCAGAATGTTGAAGACTTGGTCGTATGTGATTCTGATCGACTCAACGTATAAGACCAATTCGTATAAAATGTCGTGGGTCCTCTCGTAGGTGCTACTCCCGTTGGGAAGAATTTCAACATATGTTGTGCTCTCATGAAGGAGACAAAAGAGGCGTATCATTGGCTGTTGGAGTGCGTTTTGCTCATCCAACTTCCTCTAGATGTTGAAGGCTTGGCCGTACGTGATTCTGATCGACTCAACGTATAAGACCAATTTGTATAAAATGTCGTGGGTGGAGGTCGTAGGTGCTACTCTTGTTGGGAAGAATTTCAACATATGTTGTGCTCTCATGAAGGAGACAAAAGAGACGTATCATTGGCTGTTGGAGTGCGTAAAACAATTGCTCCATCCACGCGTGCCCACTGCCATCGTCACCGACCACGAAGGTGGACTACTTGCTTCATTTTCTGTGGTCTTCCCCCGCACCCTGCATTTGCTATGTGTTTGGTACATCAACACTAATGTGCAGAATAAGTTTTTGGAAATATTTGGGAAGTACAAGATTGATTTGGTCAACGAGGCTTACGATCAAGGTTGGTGGCCTATGCTTTATTCTTGGTCCGAGCAAGGTATGTTGGCCGCGTTTGGCAAGATGGAGCAATTACGAACCACGTCTATTGTAATACATACAGGGAGTGTGGTGGCAACATCGAGAGAAGTGGGCAGTTTGTCATATAAAAAATGTGTTTCATCTAGGAAATACGAGCACAAACAAGGTTGAGGCGTCACATTCCGCATTGAAAACTTTCCTCCACAACTCGCGGGGATCTATGGACACTGTACGGAAAGGAAACCACTGCTACATTACTAATCAATTCGGGGAGGTTATGATGATGTTGGAAAACTCTCGACAGAAAACCCTTTCAGCATCCGGTGGTACACCCTTCACATACTTGAGAAGGAAGGTCAGCATGCATGCAATTATATTAATGAAGGAGGTTGAAGAAGATTTGGCGGCCCGTTTGAAAAAAATTGAGAACTCCCGATGTTCATGTCATTTCTCTGTGACACACGGCTTGAGGTGTGGATGTCAAGTTATGGATGGCAGAGCGCGAGACATAGAGATATTAGGGCTGCAAATGAGCCAAGCCGCTCGCGAGCAACTCTGCGTTCGAATCGGAAAAAACTCGTTCGACACTCGACTCGTTGTTTAACAAGCCGGCTCGCGAGCTGGCTCGTTAGTAAACGAGCCAAGCTTGAGCTAGGCCATGCTCGACTTGATAAGCTCGTGAGCTAGCTTGACTCGGTGGCTTGTTGAGCTAAGCTCGCGAGCTGGCTTGTTTAAAGCTTGTGAAAGGATTAATTACTTTTCTGAACATGAAAATTATCTTGTTAATAAGGATGTGTATGGAAGTTAGATGTAATTTTTAATTTTTAGTGTTGTTTTTATCATTTTTAATTTCTAATGTTCTTATTTGTACACATTTTTCAGCAAGAATGGTTTCAAATCGAGCTTATCTTGAGCCGAGCTTGTACTCAGCTTGACAAGCTGTGTTAATGAGCATTTACCGAGCTTTATCGAGCCGAGCTCGAGCTGGATTATTTTTAATCGAGTCAAGCTCGAGCTCGAGCTGGATGATGAAAATTCGAGTTCGAGCCGAGCTCGAGCTAAAAAATTTATAAACGAGCCGAGCTCAAGCTAAGCAAAAACTCGACTCGACTCGGCTCGTTTGCAGCCCTAAGAGATATACTCGGGTGATCTTCATATACATTGGCAGACACTGACATACGAGCATCCACCCAATGCCCAGGAGTACGTGCCCCACGAGGATGAGGCTAAATGTCATCTTCAGAAGTTGGTTGATGAGGTCGTACGCAGAGGACCAGAGGCAACGAAAAAAGCAGCAAAGAACGTGTACCGCGAACTCCACCCAGCGGAAGACAACATTCACGAGCCATAAGTGAACGAATTTAGAAAGGGACGACCAAACAAAAAATCAACTGAAAGAACTAAAGGGTGGTGGGAAAAGATACTGCGTGGTGAGAAGAAAAACATGAAAAAGAAGTCGGGAAGCACAACGTCGGTGTCTACAAAGTCAATGAGTACCAAGTCCACGGGGACTCAGGAAGACGAGTACCCGTCAGACGACCATGCATTTGAGGAGTGTGATGACCCCGAAGAAAACAACAAATACAACGGTCCTGATACAGGCTCACATAAGAATTTCATTAAGAGTAGTTATTTATATGAATAGTTTATGTAGAATTTGTAATAATTATCTATTTCCTTCACAGATGTCCCTGGACCCAGCACCCATTCTGAATACGCACACATGCATCTACTTCCCGTCTTCGTTCGGGACCTTATCATTGTCATCCACGACCCGGTGTCAAACGGTCATTGTGGGTTTCATGCACTTAGTTTTGCATTATATGGTAATCAAGATGGGTTCCCAGAGGTGAGACGACTCATTGCTGAAGAATTTCGTAAGCACGATTGGTGTACAACACCAACGACAAATCATCATTTGATGATGGGTGTGGATCTATTCGTATTTGTCACTCTTTAATTTGGCTGTTGTCATGTACAGAAATATCCTCTACCCAGTACCAAATACATACAACTGTAGCATTCTGCCAGTGGCAACCTATCGCAACCGGTCCTAGAGGAGTCATTGTTGTGCATTTCGTCCAGGATCATTGGCTCAACCTCTCTTTCCCGGTGGACAGGATACCGATGCCGCCTGTACATGGCATGTGGTCAGGCGGTAAACAAGATAACGTGCTTGTATGTGATACATATTTCGCGCAGTTTAGTCAACTGTGGTTCGATCTTGGGGGTGGGCAGTCAAGCGGTCCATCGCACAAAACAAAGAGGGTTCCAAAGAAATAAATTTGTAATCGAGAGGGAGCCCGATGTACTCGTCTATCTCTTATAAATAAAATGTAATGAAGGTTGTCTGCAATCTCATAACCGTTTAGATAGAACGTGCTGAAGCGTCGAACTCCTGTCATAGCAAGTGATCACCCGTCTATCAGCCTGTACGGTGTAAAGACGATGGGCAACATGCCCAAGAAAGCTACGGAGTAAACTCGGGTCGCTCGACCCTCCAGCACACGGTCCTCTAAGCTCCCAAGCCTCTCCCACATTAGCATTACCACTCTGGCACTCACCAGGCTGTGGAGCTTTGTAGAAACGCCCCGCATGGTCTCTATAAATCCCAGTAACGGCATGAACCCCAGTAACGACATGTGACGATCCGCTGGCGGCACCTCTATTTCTGATCGGACTGATGGGCAACATGCCCAAGAAAGCTACGGAGTAAACTCTGGTCGCTCGACCCTCCAGCACACGGTCCTCTAAGCTCCCAAGCCTCTCCCACATTAGCATTACCACTCTGGCCCTCACCAGGCTGTGGAGCTTTGTAGAAACGCCCCACATGGTCTCTATAAATCCCAGTAACGGCATGAACTCCAGTAACGACATGTGACGATCCGCTGGCGGCACCTCTATCTCTGATCGGACTGACTCGTGGAATGCGATACTCAACAGCATCCGACTCATACTGCTCAGGCTCGTCATCAATCTCGTCTGAAGGCTCAAACGGTGAAGTATGATGATCCCTCGCCCCAAAGTTGTGACTGGAACCAGGTCCACTACCAGTCATACTAGAAAACAGAAAATCAAACTGAGGAAAACCGTCTGCCCTCAAACTCATCGGCGTCACTAGCTGATGTGGTTGTGGTTGTGACTCATATCTGAATCTGACTCTGACTCCGTCTCATCTCCATCATTTGGGTCCTTATTTCTCGTACTCATACTAATGTTACGCCCAATGAATCTTTTCAATCTCTTTCGTGTTCATCCAGAACCACCAGATGACGCCATCTCTAAACATAGTCAATAATTTTCTATTAATCTGTTATAATAAATTATTTATTGAGCAATTATTTGTTGTTTCATAGACTAATTATGATACATACAATTTGTTATCTAATTAATTTAACTAGATAGTTATTTTACTTAATACGATAGGTAGTTATTTAAATAATTATTTCAACTTACTCAATTACTTAACTAAAACATGATAGATAATTATTTAAAACTAACAATTATTTACAATTTATTTAATTCAATAATTATTTAATAATTATTATAATAAATTATCTATTAGCATAGTCAATAATTATCTATTAATCTCTTATAATAAATTATTTGATGAGCAATTTGGTCATAATCATAATTTATCAATGACTAATTATGATACATAGAACTTATTATTTAATTAATTTAACTAGATAGTTACTTAACTAAATACGATAGAGTTATTTAAATAATTTTTTCAACTTACCCAATTAATAAACTAACACATTATATAACTAACACATTAAATAATTATTATTAAACTAACAATTATATACTAATTATTCAACTGACAATTATATACTAATTATACCATCAACAATTATATACTAATTATTCAACTATCAATATTAAACTAATTAAGATACTAACTGAATTTAAAATACCTCTAATAAATATTTAATTAAATCGAACTAGTCAAACCCAATCAGACAGGTCTGAACAGGCTCGACCAGGCCCAGCGGACGCGGTCCAACCACGCTAGGAGGACCGTGTCCGCTCGGGCGAGGCGGACGGCGACTAAGGGACGAAGAAAAATAAATTACCTGGACACAGCGGCGACGACTGGAACAGCAACAGCGACAGAAGCTTGGGTCTGGGACGGGAGCGGCGGCTACGGGAGCTTGACCTCTTGAAAAGCGGCGGAGGCAGCTTCTGGGCGGCGGTTGCAGAAGGGGTGGGAGGTGAAGGGTTGGGTTGGGGTAGATAGGTTTAGGGTTTTTAAAATGAGGCAGGGGTAAAATCGTAATATTTTTTGTAACTACGGGCGGCAAATAATAAAACTACGGACGGCAAATAGCGATTCATCCTAAATACACCTCATTTAGCAAAAACTACAACAGGACATGCCTTACCGTGCTTGTCTCCTAAACTAGGAAGCATGGCAGCACCACCAGAAGGCATGACCTTCATGGGCTACTGCTGTAAGTCTCTGTTTGAAGTCTCTCTCACCCCACTTCCAAGTCTGTTTAGACAACTCAGTTCCTACAACTGGGCTGAGGGTTTGCAATCTGCAACTTGGGGAGTTACATTATGGCATGCCACTGAACAGGTGCAGTTTACTGCAAGGTGCTTCAAACCTGGATTTGTTGAGGAGGAAACCGGTTTACATTATGTGGGGACGGATACATCACGTGTATTCCCCTGTTCGAATGGCTTTGATCCAGTCGAGCTCAACTCTGAAATCACCGGTGCCAGTTCTGGTACCAGGGACACCACCTTCTGCATTGACAGAGAGCGACATGCCAAGAATACGGGCTTGATTCATCTCCATCTCTGCGTTGATAACATTCCCTCTCCAAGTCGGTAGATATCGAGCAAGTGGAATCTGAATGCCAAAATTGCAATTCGATGAGTATTTTGTAAGTGGCGTTTGAGAACAATGCGTATAGTATATGAGATGAGAGCATGAGGAAACAACTTGCCTTTGCAATGTACCAGTTGTCTTTTGGAACATGAACAAAAGCTTGCCAGGAATTATCTTCTAGCTGCCCAGGGGAATTAACCCAATTCTCTGTATAAATCTGTATCAAAGTTTCTATTTAAGTTTATAGTACCAAGTGGGAAGATTTGAACATTACAGCATCGAAAACATTTGGCTCTTTCTAGTATCGGACTAAGAGAGAAGGGGAAACAAATCTCACAGTTGATATATAGCTTCTTCCATCACCTCTAAGCTTGAGTGCAATCGTATCATATGAATCGAGATCAATGAAACCATCAAACTGCGGAAAGAATTCCAAATATTTTTCAATTAGTCGAACATCTATGATCTCACAGGATATGATTCATGTTCAGCACTTGGTTCTAGTTATTTCATTTACATAAGTTCAATTAATCAAAAGATGTTTTCACCTTCTTGGAACGCATTCCACAAAATCCACCCCTACTTATGTTCCACTTAGAATCCTCAGCTAGATCTACTGATAGATTCCCAGAGAAGACACCTATTGGTAACAGATGAGTATGATTAACAGATAAGAAGCACAAACGTAACATGACAAGATGATATATCAGAAAGAGTTGTACCAAGTAAATGGGATTAAAGAGCAGTACCTTTCAACCCATTGTCTACTTCACTAATCTCCAACGAAGCTGAGGAGAGACCTGAAATGTTTAGAAATTCTTAGAGGAGTAATTTGATACCCTAATCTTGACATTTGACAATTCCAATGAATTCTCAACCCTTTGAAGAGTTTGCCTGGGCCATGACAGCTTCAAGACCAAACATACAAAAATTCCCTTGCTTAAAGAGAGAGGAGGGCACAGCATGAAGCATTGAAGTTGGCAAGATACTGTACCTCCATACTCTGAATCTGAATATAGATGCCATTTCTTTAGTTCTTCCTTTGAGTTGAAGCTGAAAATAAGTCTCTCGGAAGGAGGCATCAAGTCTTCAAGGTTCCATGTAAGAGCTGTAGGGGGGAAATACTCAAGTAAATAAGAAAACCACCCTGTATGCTAATGTCTTGTTTCATCCCAGAAATCCTAAAGTAAAGGTGATGCAATGAAACCGTTTCACTGGATGGGCTTGTTTGATGTGTTTGATTCCTTGATCTAAAGATGAAATATCTCTACTTGATCCATTAGTAACAGTATTTACTGCAATACAGGCACGATGCAATCGGTACTACAACGTCCTAATAAGTGGTTCCTTTACAACTGCTTCAACAATTACCTTACCTCATCACTTCTGCACAATGGGACTACCTTATGCTATTGACGACAAAGCAGATTGTAGTTCAAGTAGATAGCTTTCAGGTCAACTGCCATTGTTTAAGATACTATGAATTCACGTGTGACATTAACATATGCATTCGGTAGACAGTATGAATTTCACTAGGAATACACAAGGAAACAGCCGAAAGAAAGGATAAGCACACATTCCATATACTACTGCTGCACACAAAAATTTATCTAGCAAAGCCAACAAGCAATATCTAAGTCTTAAGATCAAGCAAAATGACAGTCAAGCAAAATAGATCAACCACTAGAGAAACCCAGAGAAAAGACCACTAGAGAAACCCAGAGAAAAGAAAATACCTTTCTTGGTGGCATTCAAAGAAGCTTGCCAGAGTGATCGAAACCTAGACATCCCTGGCGCAGCTGAAACTGCAAAATTAGCCAAAAGAACCGATTCAATTAGCCATAAATCAGGGCAAACTTAACAATGCATCATGCACTAGATTGATAACTGAAGAAGAACCTCAGCGATTGAATATCGGCTATCAGCTTAATACCAATTCAGAATATAATGGAAGGCGAGATGGAAATGTTAAGAAACGGTAGGTGAATACTCGATAGAAGGGGAATCGCCTGATAGATACTAGGTAGCTCAAGAAAAGAAACACTGATATTGTGTGACACCGCTACAGCTGAGAGAGGAAGACACGTGTTCTACGGCGGTGGAAGACGGAAGGTATGGTGGTGGTTGTTTACTTTCCACGGCCGGCCAGGGGAAACGGTGGAGGAAGAGTGAGCGAGTAAGTGAGTTTTGAGGAAGGATTTCGGAGTTCCGAGTTGTGGTGGGCTGTTGGCCGTTGGCGTGAATTGGGTCGTTTTGATCAATAATTGCATTGGACCGTTGGGCAAATTCAATAATTGTGATCAATAATTCGTGGTAAATATCATAAAATATCACAAACCTATTTACTTTTTACAAAATGGTTATAAACCTTTTATTTTACAGGTTTCAGTAATATACGTTTGAGAGAATAACAAAATGGTCATTCCATCTATCTCCATTAATTTCGTCCCGTCATCACACCACGTCACTTACAATATTAATTAAAAATTAAAAACCAAACTCAATTAAACCGAACAATCCTAATTTTATACCCACCCACCCAATAAACCGGGAGCAGATCCAGGGGCTAAGATCAGGTGACTAAGGGGGGTCCCTTAGTCATATGACTAAGCCAATCTCAGCCATTGATGCTCATTAAAATCTAATGGTTCAGATTTATCTGATTTAATGAAGGGCAAGATGGTAACTACTTAATTTATTTATTTAACAATTAAAATAAAAAAATAAAAAAGAGCTTTGTCCATTCGACTTCTCCGATCGCGGCCGCCGAAGGGATTTTGCACCTGCCGCCGGTCCTGGAAATTTTCTGAGGCGGTGAGATTATTTTCTGTCCGTACCACTCACCCTCTCCGATCCTGGGCGCCGGTGAAATTTGTACCTGCCACCGGTGAATTTCGAATCCATAGCGGTGGACGATTCATTCTCCAAATCCTACCCACTGCTTCCCGCCGATCCTTGCGAGAGAGCCGTGACTCGTTTCTGGATCAAATTCGCGGAGGAGAAGCTGACCCTGGAGGAGCATGCTTTTTTGGGCTGCTGCTGGTGAATTCGGTCCCCAACAGGTAAGTGAGAGAGAGATGGGGAATTGGGGAATTGTTTGGACATGTCATTATGCGTGTGAGAGATGGGGAATTGGGGAATTGTTTGGACATGGCATTCTGCATGGAGAGAGAGAGGGAGGGAGGGAGGGAGGGAGAGAGAGAGGGAGGGAGAGATTTTCGGTGACCGGAGGAAATTTCCCGACGACAGTGTTGGATTTGTAATGTTTGCTGACCTATTTTGTAATGTTTGTATAGATTCGGTTTGTATTGTTTGTCATTTTTAGTGACATTTTGTACGGTTAGTATGCTTTGTACTGTTTGTTGGTTTATTTTGTAATGTTTGTACGCTTTGTTATTTTGTTATGTTTGTAAGTTTTTTTGTAATGTTCGTAAACTTTGTTATTTTTGTGAACGTGTTTATCATTTTTGTCAACCATGTTTGTAATGTTTTTTATGTCTAAAAAACAACCTGGTTGACTTTTGGATGAAACTTCTCTATATAGGGATGGAGCCTCCAAAGTCAACCCGGGTGTTTTTTCCCGTTCGTATGGATTGTCGGTCTAGTTTGTCATTTTTGTCCACCGTGTTCGTACTGTTTGTATGTCTAAAAAACACCCGGGTTGACTTTGGGAAGGAGCCCCTCTATATAGGGATGGAGCCTCCAAAGTCAACCCGGGTGTTTTTTCCCGTTCGTATGGATTGTCGGTCTAGTTTGTCATTTTTTTCCACCATGTTCGTACTGTTTGTATGTCTAAAAAAACACCCGGGTTGACTTTGGGAAGGAGCCCCTCTATATAGGGATGGAGCCTCCAAAGTCAACCCGGTTGTTTTTTCTTTTTGTATGGTTTGTATTGTTTGTCAGTCTAGTTTGTATTGTTTGTACAGTTCATACGTTTGTAATGTTTGTATGTTTTGTCGCTCTAGTTTGTACTGTTCGTATGTTTGTATGGTTTGTACTGATTGTAAATCCAGTTTGTATACTTCATAATTTTTCATAATACCCAAACTACCCCTGTCATTAATTAAATAGCCCTTCCCACTTTTTAACCATTGGATTGAAGTGTCCAGATCTAAGGGCTGGGAGGGGCTTAGTCAAGTGACTAAGCACCCCCCCCCCTTAGTCACTGGATCCGCTCTCCAGATCCAGTGAGTAACATTTTGGTGAGTAACCTCATGCATAACCCAATAAGAATCTGCCACATCAGCGCCTCCTTCTCTCTCCGGGAAAAATCATTAATTTTCTTTCTCTTAATCTTTAACGGACGATTTCTCACTCGTTTTAACTCGGAATTTAAATTTTTTTGCACAGTTAGATCAGATTAATTGTGCTCTTCAAAAAGATATCCACTATTTATCAGTTATTACCAGTCTATACCATATGGTATAGTCAATACCATATGTTGTTATTTAATACCAATCAATACAATATGATATTAAATAACAGCATACCATATTGTATGAAAAATACCACCTCATACCAGGGTGGTATAGTATGGTATGGAGTTGGTAACGAGAGGTTTGAAATTTTTTCCCCCTGAAAATTTTGAAATCCAATAGATCGTGATTAAATCGTTCCTTTTGTGCAAAAATTTCCGAAAATGACTAAACAACGAAGGAGATACCATATGGTATGGAGTTGGTAACGAGAAGGATGAAAAAAAATACTCAAAAAATATTGAAAATGGATATAATTTTGTAGAGCACAACGAACTCGTTCCATTTGTGCAAAAAAATTGAAATCCGAGTTAGAATGAAGAAGATATGATCCAATTAAAAAAACTAGAGAAAATAAATTCCTTTAATTTTCCACTCTTAGAACTGTAGTCACTTAAAAGAAGAGTCCAGATTTGGTTACTCATTGTTACTCGCCCTAAGATTACTCACCCTATCTTGAGCCCAATAAACCTAATTGAAGGGAGTGACCGAGAGTATGGGTGCTTTGGATTTTGGAACAAACCCTCCCTCTGCATTCCGATCAGTAGGAATCCATGGAAGGAAGAATCTTGATCTGGGAAAGCAAGTCGTTTTCAGATCTGGTCATCTGGACAAGGCGGAATCAATTACTCACATCACCGAGCTCCAGAAAACGGACAATTCCCTTAACAAAAGGCGAACGAGTGAGATTGCTCTCAGTCTCACGCACGTTTGGGATCGGAGCTGCGGCGGTGGGATTTCCCAGTGGATCATCAAATCTATTACAAGTGTTGTGTCTTTTGCGCTGGCAGCCATGGAAGGTGAGGCAGGGCTTCGTTTCACGCCGGCGACGCAAGCAGGGGCGGGATCGACGGTGGGGGCTTCGGTTCACGCCGGCAACGCGAGCAGGAGAGGGATCGACGGTGGCGCTTTGTTCCAGGTCAGCAACGCGAGTAAGGGAAGCGAACGACAGTGAGGGGTTTGGTTTAGGGAGGTGCCGCGACTAGGGGAAGCAATCGGCGGCCGAAGCTTTGTTTTTTGTCGGCGATTCTGGGGGGAGCTAATACGCGCTCTGCAGAGCCGAGATGGAAGAGGAAAGCGGCTGTCTGGAATTTTGGGTGGGTGACATTAATTTTTTTTATTGATTCAATTAGGTTTTTCGGGTGGGTGGTATAGAATTTGGAATGTCCGGTTCAATGGTCATTAGTTTTTTTATTAATATTTTAAGTGATGTGGCGTGAGGACGGGACGAAACTAACGGTGTTTTGGATGGAGATGGACGAAATGGCCATTTCGTTATCCTCTCAAACGTATGTTACTGAAACATACAAAATGAAAATTTTGTGACCATTTTGTACAGAGTGAATAGGTTTGTGACCTTTTATGCTAATTATCCCAATAATTCGATGGTCTTGCTCTTGCCGCCGTTTCCGCGGCGCTAGGTGGGTATCACGATTTAGGTCACAATCAGTTTTACTTAGGAAGCCGCGGGTGTCCCCTGCGCACAATCCTGGATTGAAGTTGTCTATTGACTCATCTTTGGTTCTTTCTATCAGATGTTGATTGAGGAGATCGAACCACCAGCAAAGAGACACCAACTGGAGGATGATGGGATGGAGGATCCGGGTTGCCACCAGTGCATGGCCGCATGCTCCAGATTGAGTCTAATGGTTTGGAACTATCGAGGTTTAGGTCTGGCCTTGACGGTTAAATCTTTATACGGGCTTGTTTGTGTTTATAATCCGTCTATTTTATTAGTTTGTGTGACTCGTAGTATTCGTGAATTTTGTGGTCATTCGTTCTTTGGGTTATGTTGCGGGCTTGCGGCGATCCTATGATTGTGAATCCTGTTTATTTTGCTGATTGCGATCTGTTGCTGGTTTCGTTCGTTTATACGCTTTTTTCCTGATATGTTTTCGGACCCCTGGAGGAGGAGATCTGTTTGGTGGGGTTGTGGGGTATCTATTTTCGCTTCCTCCTTTGTCTCATGCGGTTATGGATCGGGTGGTGACTGCTCTTTGGGCACTAATGCTCCAATCGTCATTCAGGAGGCTGAGAATGCATTTTCGAGTGAGTTTGTATTAGGTGTGGGCATTCGGTCGGTTCGGTTTCGACCTGACCCGTTTCACCCGACCTGTTTGGCCTGTTTTGGGGCGGGGCGGGCATGGGGTACTCTCATCGACCCGACCTGCCCTGACCCGCCCCATTCTCAACCCGTTCTTGCCTAAATTACATGTAATCTTAGTCAAATTACTTAGGACTTTTCTTTTATTACATCATAATTTAGCTATAATAAAATTGTAAATTAGTGAAAACCTCAATTTCTCTAATAATTAACTACATTTATCATAATATTGTTTGTTTTCTTGGTCTTATAATAAAAATAAGAAATATTTCTAATGTTTTTCATATAAATTGCATACACATTGGGTCGACCTGCCCTGACCTGTGACCCTGACCTGTGACCCGTGATAAATTATCCGACCTGGACCAGACCTGCCACGGGGCGGGTCTGGGTAGCAAGAAACCCGCCCCGGACCTGCCCCATTGTCATTCCTACATTTTATTGTAGGGTTATGGAATCACTGGGATTGTCGTCATGGTGGTTTGTGGATCGTTTCATTTCGTTCGTGAAGATGTCAACTCAAAGTTCTAATCGATAATTGCATGGGTTGGGATGTTCGGGATGCTAGAGCTTGATTTGTACTTTCTTGGATTTCGTGAAAATAAGTATTCCTTGGGTTGTTGGTAGTATAAGT